CAGTTGAGTTTCCCACTATTTATAGGGGGTTTAGGGGTGGCAACTGCCCCCTTAATTAGCTCCTCCATGGGCTGAGTGGGGTGTAACCACCCCCTCTTAAACAGCTCCCGAAATAGTGGGGAAAACGGTTTTGAAACCGTTCTGTTAGTGCTTTGAACGAGTCAAAACGCTGAAAACAGCGTTCTGGGCCTTAACTCTGCGTCTTATTGATGAGACGCAGAGTTGGGCGCTTGTTGGGAGTTGAAAACGCAAGGGCCGCTTGCGTTCGGACCTTAACTCTGCGTCTTAAAGATGAGACGCAGAGTTGGGCGCTCGCTGGGAGTCGAAACGCACAGGCCGCATGCGTTTTAGAGATGAACTCTGCGTTTTAGGCTAAAAACGCAGAGTTGGGCCTGTTTAAAGGCTGAAAACGCACAGTTGTGCTGTTTTAGAGATTAACTCTGCGTTTCTAGACTGAAAACGCAGAGTTGAGCCTGTTTAAAGGCTGAAAACGCACAGTTGTGCTGTTTTAGAGATTAACTCTGCGTTTCTAGACTGAAAACGCAGAGTTGAGCCTGTTTAAAGGCTGAAAACGCACAGTTGTGCTGTTTTAGAGATTAACTCTGCGTTTCTAGACTGAAAACGCAGAGTTGAGCCTGTTTAAAGGCTGAAAACGCACAGTTGTGCTGTTTTAGCGATTAACTCTGCGTTTTGATGTTGAAAACGCAGAGTTGAGCATGTGCGCTTTGACTCTGTAATGCAGAGGCGAACCTTAGGCGGGCTTGGCGGGCTTCAGGCTAAGTCCAATGTTCTGATGAAGTCCAGTCTTGCAGACGGACCTCAGAACATAATTTGCTGCGAAGAACAGGTCATAACTTTCAAACCGTAAGTCGGAATTAGACGAATTATATATGAAAATCGGCTATCTCGACGAGACGGGGCCATCCGAACCAAGCCGAAGGCTTCGGTTCGCTTCCTCCGTTTGGCCAAATTCCTTACGGTTTGAGAGATATCTGCATTCTAATATGAAGAGACCGTCAATTTGTAGTCTCTTTTGCTAGAGCTTTGCACAGATCGTCCTCTTGTAATCTTCGTCTTGGCTCCTTGAAAATATGAGAGTCGTCAGATTGTAACTCCCGATGTTGATTGTGAAGGCTATTGAATTGGAGTTTTCATCAGTTGTCGTGAAGGTCCTCAAATTGTAGCCTACTGGAAGTCGTCAGATTGTAACTTCCATCATCGGTGTTTGATGGGGGATCAACTATCTATTGTGATTTTTAGACAGCCTACAAGGATTATTCCTATTTAAATTTAATAACAAAGAAGATTTGAATGAGATTCTTGTTAATGGGCCGTGTTTTTTGGTTCTAGACTTCTTATGTTAAAGGTTTGGAATAATGAAGAGGATATTGAAAAGATTAGTGCATGTGTTTACCCAATGTGGATTCAACTCCCTGCATTGAGGCTCAACCTTTGGAATGCTAAATGTATCAGCAAGATTGCTAGTTTGATTGGCCGGCCAATTGCTACTGACAAGTTGATTGCAAATAGACAGAGGCTAGCATATGCCAGGGTTTTAGTTGAAGTGCACATGCCCTCTCAACTTCCTGATCATATTCGTCTTCAAGGCCCTAATGACAAAAATTTTAATCAAAATGTTGTCTATAAACTTAAACCTAGATGGTGTGCTACATGTAAGCTTGTGGGTCATGATACTAATATGTGTAGGAAAAGTTCCAAGGCTCAAAAGTGGGTTCCTAAACAGTCTGCAAATGTTGATCTGAACCATAAATCCACTAATCAAGGGGTTTTTGTGAGACCTAATATCCATGGTAATACTACGCAAGGTGTTTCTAATATTTTAAATCAGAATGCCTTGATTGAAGTTTATGTTCTGCATCAGAAACATGTTGTGATTTCTGGAAATTCTAATATTACTGTTGTGGAAAAACCTGTGCATGTGGTGCATGTTTTTAAGTCAGGTTCAAATTCAGTTCTGAATGATCTTAATTCAGAGGGGCCTAGTTCTAGGCATGTTGTACATGATGTTTCTTTGGCTAGAAAAGGGGAAAATGTGTCTGTGCATGATGTGCATGTTTTTCAGCCAGTTACTGGAAATAGCAAAGATATCCTGCAGACTGCTATCTCTAGACAAGGTAAACAAAAAAAGATCTTGGGGAAAAGCCCTTTGCCTGTGAATTCTTTCTCTCCACTGTTTAATGTGGCTTGTGGAATTGATCCCTCTATGTTGATAGAGGGGGTATGAACTTATGAATCGGTCTTTTTGGAATGTAAGGGGATTAAATAAATCCCATAAGCAACATTTGGCAAAGCTTCATCTAATGCAATATCATCTGTCTTTCTTTGCCCTTCTTGAAACAAAGATTAAAATGGAAAATGTTCAGCTTATTGCTAAGAGGATTGCAAAAAATTGGAAATGGTTATCTAATGCTAGTAGCTCGAAAAAAGCCAAGATACTGATTTTATGGGACCCTAGCATATTGAACATTCAATGTGTTAGTACTTCTCCTCGACAAATAACATGTGCTGTCAAGTCCATTGATGGAAGGCTAACCTGTCTCATTTCATCAGTGTATGGTTTCAACAATGCAGTAGCCAGGAAAGTTTTGTGGACAGAATTATCCCAAATTCAGCATATCATTGGTAATATGTCTTGGCTACTTTGTGGTGATTTTAATGTCATGATAAGTAATAAGGAAAAGTTAGGTGTAGTTATGCTTACTGATGCTAAAACTGAGGACTTTAACCAGTTTATTGATGATTCTCATCTAACACATCTAAAAACTATTGGATGTTTCTTTACCTGGAATAATAAACAAGATCCCACAACTAGGGTCTGGAGTAGATTGGACAGAGCTCTTGTTAATGATACATGGTTGCAAGACCATAATTCTAGTCATGTTGAGTTCCTTATGCCCAGTTTTTCTGATCATTTACCTGCTCTTGTATCTATCTATGAGGATAGTGTTCAAGGGGAAAAGTCTTTCAAATTTTTTGATATGTGGACCAAACATGTAAATTTTCTACCTACAGTTTCTTTCATATGGCAAACCCCCATTGAAGGGCATAAAATGTTCACTGTTAATACTAAACTAAAGCTACTGAAGAAAGATCTGAAAGAGCTCAACAAAAGACACTTCAACAACATTAGTGAACAGGTTCTTAGAGCAAAATTGGAGCTGGAGAACATTCAGAAATCTCTTCAACCTGACCCTCTCAATTTCACTTTTATTAACCAAGAAAAAGCTTGTTTGACTTCTTACAATAAGCTTCTTGATTGTGAATTATCTTTTTATCAGCAAAAAGCAAGAGTTGCCTGGTGTCTCAAAGGTGATAGATGTACCAAGTTCTTTCACTCGGTTATCAAAACAAACAGACATCACAATAGAGTTCTGATCCTCTACAATAGCTTGGGTGAGAAGATCACTGATGAAGAGGGTATTGTCAAGGAACTTATATCCTTTTATTCCAGTCTGATGGGTACTTCAATTCCTGCCTCCAGTCCTGACTCATATATTATCCAAAATGGCCATTGTCTGACTGAAAATCTAGCCAATCAATTGTCTAAATTTGTTACTAAGGAGGAGATCAGAAATGTTGTTTTTTCTATGCAAAGTAATAAAGCCCCAGGCCTTGATGGTTTCAGTGCCTCCTTCTATAAATCTGCTTGGTCAGTTGTTAGGGAAGAAGTCACACTTGCTATTGAAGAGTTTTTTAAATCTGGTAAACATTTGGGTGCAATTAACTCTACGTCAATTTCTCTTATTCCAAAGGTTCCCTGCCCCAAAACTCCCTCTGATTTTAGACCTATTTCTTGTTGCAACTGTTTGTACAAGTTTATTTCTAAAATACTTGCTAACAGAATTCAATCTGTTATGGGGCATATTATCAGTGAAGCTCAAAGTGCCTTTGTTAAAGAAAGGCAAATTACAAGTAATATCCTCTTAGCACATGAGCTGGTGAAGAACTATAACAAAAAGAATTTGTCTTCCAGGGCAATGCTTAATATTGACATTAGGAAAGTTTTTTATACTATTAATTGGGATTTTCTGGAAAGGATGCTCAATGGTCTGGGATTCCCTAGTGTCTTCACAGGATGGATAATGACATGTATTTCTTCTACTAATTTTTCCATCTCTCTCAATGGTACTCTCCATGCTTTCTTTAAAGGTGCAAGAGGGCTCAGACAGGGTGACCCCCTCTCTCCTTATCTATTCATTATTGGCATGGAGTATCTCTCTAGAAGTCTGAATATGTTAAAGCATGACAAGAAGTTCAAGTTTCACCCTGGGTGTCGTGAGCTGAAAATCACTCATCTTTCATTTACAGATGATCTTCTTCTTTTTAGTAAAGGTGATCTATATTCAGTTCAAAAACTACATCAATGCCTCAGTGACTTTGGAGCTATATCTGGTCTGGAAGCTAATCTTTCTAAGTGTTCTATTTTCTATGGAGGTGTTGAAGACTCTGTAAAAAGCTCTATCCACTCCTTGTTGGATAATCCTGAGGGAGCTCTTCCAATTAAATACCTTGGTGTTCCTTTAATATTCAAAAGGTTATCCTACATTGATTGCAGTCCTCTTTTGATGAAAATTACAAACCAGTTCCAATCCTGGCTGAAACACAGAAATTTATCTTATGCTGGTAGGCTTCATGTCATCAAAAGTGTCATCTTAGGTGTTCATATCTATTGGTCTTCCAATTATATCCTTTCAGCAAAAATTCTCCAGAAAATTGATGGCTTGTGTAGAGACTTCTTATGGGGCAAATTTGACCAGGCTTTTAAACCTCCTCTTGTTTCCTGGGATAAAGTCTGTATGGATAAAAAGCATAGAGGTCTGGGGTTTTTTTCAGCAACCATTTGGAACTTTGTCACAGCTCTTAGAACCATTTGGTATATACATACTAACAAGGAGCTTTTGTGGATAAAATGGATTCATGGCACCTATTTGAAGAATGAATCTATTTGGCATGTTAATTCAAAAGTTAATAATTCCTAGATGTGGAAGCAATTGCTTAGGGTCAGAGACAAAGCTGTGATTAAATGTGGTGGCATTGAAAGTTTAATGCTCTGTATCAGTTCATGCTACGAAAATTCCATAGTTCACCTTTCAAAGTTGTATTCAACTATGTCTCCAGTCACAAACAAAGTGCCTTGGTTCTATGTAGTTTGGGAAAACTTTAGCTATCCTAAACATTGCTTTATCCTCTGGTTAGCAGTTCAAAACAGACTTCTTATAAAGGAAAGGCTTCTCAAGAGAGGACTTATTCAAGCTGGTCAATGTTGTTTATGTGAAGATGCAAGCTTGGAGACGCGTGATCACCTGTTTTTTGAATGCAGATTTTCAGTTGCTGTCTGGAATGGTGTCATGAGCTGGCTTCGATTCAATTGGAAAACCTGTAACTGGGGATTGTTGATTTTTTGGTACAGTTCCAGATTGAGGGGGAAGGGATTTAGACACAAAATTAAAAGAATGGCTCTTTCTACAACTGTTTACATTTTGTGGAAGAAACGCAATGCCAGAGTCTTCAAGCAAAAAAGAAGAAGTGTTGATCAGAGTGTTACAGAGATAAAGATAGATATCTTGTCTATCACTCTTAACAGTTCTCTTCCAGCTGATGAAAAAGATTGGCTTCTCTCTTTATGAAGTCAATTATATGTGAATAGCTGGTTTAGTTTTTTCTTCATACATTGTTGTTTTTCTTCAGTTTTGCTCAAAGCATGAGCATCTTGATGTACATAATTTTCACATTTGGTCAATGAAAATAATATTCTTCATTGACCAAAAAAACAACAAGCAACTACATGTGAATGGACCTTGGTGACGAATCTTAGATAGCAACAATTCATCTTGAGCAAGCTTTAATTTATAAGACACGCTAGATCTTTGAAGAAAATAACATCACATAGATTATATTGCGGTGAGAACCCAAAGCTGATATTGCTGGTTCAGTGGGAGGTACGTAGGAGAAATCAATGTTTTGGAAGTATTTTTTACTTCTGAACCCACTTGGTTGCATGCAATTGCTACTGGTAATACTTGTTTGTTAAATTTTAAAATTAACTTTGTAATTTATCTGATATGTAATTGTATTTGCAGGTGTTTGTTTTGCGATACCATATATGCACATCCTTTAGACTTGCGTTGGAGATCGATCGGATTGCAATTAATTAGAATTGAAATTGTTTATAGTAATTGCCGGCTACACCTGAAGGTCTTTTATTGCAGCCGTAGTTGCAGTGAAGAAAACAATTGTAGCTAACAAAATTAGCTAGATAGATAGCTCGCATGCAATTTGTATTTGCAAACCCATAATTTTCCCTTACGTTAATTAGATGGGTTCTTTTTTCCATTGCTCTTTTTTGTAAGGATGATATTGGAAAATGACATCTTCGAACGATTCTCTTCTTGGGCTATTAGCTCATCAATGTCGTCTCAATCGTTTCTATCAAAATAAGATAAGACTACAGGTTGAGAAGTTAAAATAAGATAAGACTACAGGTTGAGAAGTTCTGTCTAAATTTTAGTAGTAAAATTTTAATAAATGGCAGAGTTGGGCCTGTTTAAAGGCTGAAAACGCACAGTTGTGCTGTTTTAGAGATTAACTCTGCGTTTCTAGACTGAAAACGCAGAGTTGAGCCTGTTTAAAGGCTGAAAACGCACAGTTGTGCTGTTTTAGCGATTAACTCTGCGTTTTGATGTTGAAAACGCAGAGTTGAGCATGTGCGCTTTGACTCTGTAATGCAGAGGCGAACCTTAGGCGGGCTTGGCGGGCTTCAGGCTAAGTCCAATGTTCTGATGAAGTCCAGTCTTGCAGACGGACCTCAGAACATAATTTGCTGCGAAGAACAGGTCATAACTTTCAAACCGTAAGTCGGAATTAGACGAATTATATATGAAAATCGGCTATCTCGACGAGACGGGGCCATCCGAACCAAGCCGAAGGCTTCGGTTCGCTTCCTCCGTTTGGCCAAATTCCTTACGGTTTGAGAGATATCTGCATTCTAATATGAAGAGACCGTCAATTTGTAGTCTCTTTTGCTAGAGCTTTGCACAGATCGTCCTCTTGTAATCTTTGTCTTGGCTCCTTGAGAATATGAGAGTCGTCAGATTGTAACTCCCGATGTTGATTGTGAAGGCTATTGAATTGGAGTTTTCATCAGTTGTCGTGAAGGTCCTCAAATTGTAGCCTACTGGAAGTCGTCAGATTGTAACTTCCATCATCGGTGTTTGATGGGGGATAAGCTATCTATTGTGATTTTTAGACAGCCTACACCTACGTCCATGGGGAGAGGATGGGGAGATTTCACTATATGGAGGAGAAATACAATGAGTTACAACTCACAAAATCACTCAAATATAACCCTAACCAAAGCTCTCAACTCCCTCACAATATCTCCCTCTCAAAGTGCTCAAAACAATGCTAATTCTCTCTTTTTATCTCCTTAAGAAACCCTAAAAAACATGGTTCTATTTATAACAAAACACAATCCCAAATAGATTAGGATTCTAAAAATGAGTCTGCCACACCAGGGTGTGGCGCAGACCACACGCATGGCAGACAGGACAGATTCTGTCACACCAGGGTGTGGCGCAGACCACACCCATGGCAGATAGGGCATATTCTGCCACACCCATGACAGACACCACACCAGGGTGTTGTGGAGTCTGTTTTGGGTTATTTTTCACGTTTTTCATAATTCCTTCGCCGTTTTCACAGCTTGCACTTTGACATATATAAAAAGGGACCATCAGTACTCAATAAAATAACTTCAAGGCAAGCACTTGTAGCAACGAAAATTGAGAGGCAATCCTATTCTTCTTCCTTGACTACAGTGAGTTTTTTCTTGTAGTTCCAACTCAGTGTGTGAGAGAGTCTGAGTGAGTCCCTTGTCCAACATTTGGTATCAAACCCGTGAGACAAGACGGTTAGATCGTCAACGGAGAGCAAATTCGACGTAAACATTCGAATGAGGCACTCCATCGCTACCGTGAAGAACCCAGTATTAAACAAATGGGGGAATCCAGATTATTCTCCTCTCTTTTGTAATCGAAATCCAATTGTAATTAAGATCGAGAGAATCTAAATCAATTATCCAACAACTATTATGTTTTTTTTTTCTCGGGGATTGATTTCTATATGAAGGATGTGTACGTTCTTTTCAAATAAAATCCACTTCTCATAAATACTTTATATCCATGCTACGTAACTTTAATGTTTGCTTGTTATTACAAAGATATCCCGTCAAAGATAACCGGATCAATTAATAGATGGAGAAGCATGCATGTAAGTGAGGTTTAAAAAGAAATCAGGGTAAGACCCGGGCGGATCCAGGATTTTAGTGGGGGGGGGGGGGGGGGGGGGGCGTATACAAAAGATAGACGAAAAATTTTCTTAATGTAATTTTATTCACAAGAGATACACCACAACCCAAACAAAACGAGTAGAATAGCCAACGACAATATCTCCAAAATATTTCAAAAAAGAAAAACAAAAAATATGTAGAAAATATTTAAATAAGCATTATCTACTTTTTTATAACTAAAATTTCTCAAACTAAAAGAAATTCGACGTTCCTTAAAATTTTTAAGGGAGGAGATTTTACAGAAACAACCCTGTCTTTTTTCCCAAAATTTGGGGGTGGGAGGTGGGGAGAGGGGCGAACTGTATATAGATCCGCCTCTAGGTAAGACTTTGGTTTTGTAGACAAAAACTCCTAAAAATAATAAATTTCTGGTTCTACCTACAAACTCATATTGTTTCACCAAAATTATAATTCATCGAAAGTAATTACCATTTATATATTTATTTATGTTTCGTTGATTGTATTAGGTCTCGAGGGAGGTGGGTGAACAGTGGTTATAGTTTTGGCAAAGATGAATAAATAAAGGGAAAATTGCTTGGGGGAACCAAGTTAAGTTGGGCTATTCATCCCCACCCCAAGCCCAAAAAGCATAACCACAAAGCCCTTATATAGAAAAGGAAATGCAACAAGGCCCCAAAATGAGTACAGATATACTACCCCAAAAAGTATCCCCAAATTACCATTCCCAATTCACTATACCACCCTCTCTGGGCGCTGTTATCGAAATCACCTGTAACAAATTTCGAGACCATCTTCCCTGTCGAAACCCTCCTCCTCCCAAAACCACCTGTAACAAATTACCCTTTCCAATTTACTATGACCCAAATTAACTTGGTTCCCCCAATCAATTTTCCCATAAATGGGAAATGAGGAAAGGCAAAAGTACGGAAGGAGAAATATTTTATGTGGTGTGAAAAGTCAGAGAAAGATGCAGGAGATCACTGATGAGGAATTCAATTTCATTAGTACGCACAACAACAGGAGAAACCCAAAAATATACAAATACAAATTCCAAAATACCCACAAAAAAAACATTATAAATTTACAGGACTACGTACATTCCCAAAAATTCAAGAGCAAACGATCGCCACCTTCAACTACCGCTGCAGTGTCTTCAACTCTAGTACACTTTTGCTCCAATATTACAAGGTCATCGTCACCGGTCATCATCTACAGGAACCAGGGCAGCTTCAGCGTCACTAAGTCGTGCACTGCTGCGATGCATCGACATCAAGTCGATTTCAGAGATTTGCCACAACAAAGGAGCACTTGTTTATGTAGATTCTTCCTATGCTTCACCAATCAACGAGAAACTCTAAACTTTTAGGTACCGTTTGACAAAGGGTTAAGTGAGGAGTAAATGAGACTTAACCATTTCTTAACCTGCCAAACACAAAAATTCTATACAATGGTTGAAGTGAGTTAACTCTTCATAATTTGCCATACATAAAAAATATAGAAGGCTTAAGCTAACCCCTCTAGAAGGATTAAAATGAGTTAACCCCTTAAATTGAGGAGTTTACTAATACTCCTATTTAGAAGATTAAGAGTTAACCCTTCTAATTATTAAAGAAAATAGTCAAAATTATTGTTATTCCCAACCATTAAAACTGATCACAATTGCTAAAATAAAACTTATCTAACATGTTAATAATTTAGTCATTCAGATTATCGAATGAGCTAAGTATATTAATCCTTCTCTTTAACCCTTCTTCCTTAACCCTTTGCCAAACGAGGCATTAGGGCCTGATTTAGTTATCCATTCTATAGCTGAGTTTACTGCAGAGCCTATCCACGTGAGTTAAATATCGCTCTTTTTTTGAAATTTTATTTTATTACTCTTTTTTGCTTAAATTAAGTAGAAGATGGTCATTTCTTCCCGGGTTAGAGGAGATTGTGTTAAGTGGTCCAGATGAACTGATTTCCAAAATGCGTTGTTAGTAATTACACCATTTTCACAATCTATTTTACATAGAAACCAAACTTTTTCTAAAAGTCCAAAAACAACCTTAATGTGAATTAGTATTCTAACTGGACCTGAACATTAAAAAGAGTGAGTCATGTGTCGTGAATGTGAGTTTTTAAGAATATTTTTGGATTTTCAGTGGAAATTTTGACAAGAATGTGATTGGAAGGAACAAAACCCCATTTTAAAGTTAGTTTACATATAAAGTGAAAATAAAGGGAAAATGTGTCCAGACCCCAAAAACAGAAACTTCATGTGCTGCAGTGATATGGGTGTATCTTCTCTTCGGAACTTAGCGATCCTCATGGGAGCTT